AATGGCAGCGATAATAAAGTAGATGACACACGATTTACGTGGAAACCCCAAATCGGGGAGAAAACCACGGCCGCTCAACAACGGCTCCCAAACTTCCACTAATCACCAAGAATCAAGTGGGTACAACAAGTTCTCCTCTCTAGTAAACACTAGAGGCATACACAATCATCAAGGAGCAACCTTGGAACAACAACAATCAACAATTCACCATAAAATGGAGTAAAAACTCCCAAAAACGCAGGTCTGAAAATGCAACTAGAAAACAGCCTTCCGGGCATCAAAACGAGAAACTGACCGTTGGATATGAAGAGGAGTGTGTGAGGAACAACATACTAAAATTTGAGCACGATCCGACTTCGTTTGGCCTTCGATCCGGTGGTGAAAAGTGGCTGCTGCACTGTGTGGCGAGAAATCTGTTTTTTTTTCTCCCTCTTTCCTGCGTAGCTACTGCCAGTACTCTCTCTACACCTCTTCTTTTTTTTTTTTGCTTTTCTCCCCTTATCTCTTTTCTCTTCTTTTTTTTTTATATTTAATATATGGGCCACCAAAAAAAACAATTGGGCTAAAACTTTACACACAAAAATAAGCCCAAATGTAAAAGAGAGATATAATGTGTTGTCCAATTAAAATTGAACACTTCCTCCATGTAGGAGGAAAATTTCCCAACAAATCTCCCCCTCACTCCTACATGGAGTGAGCAAACAAACCGGCCTTCTCTCGACAAAACACGAGTTTCTCCTTCGGCAATGTCTTGGTCAACATATCCGAGCAATTCTCACTTGTGTGAGTCTTCACAATTTCAAAAGACTTGTCCTCCACAGCTTCTCGAATCCAATGATACCTTCTCTTAATGTGTTTGGTTCGAGAATGAAACGCGGCATTCTTGGCAAGGTGGATGGCACTTTGAGAATCACAATGAAGAAGATAATTTTCTTGTTCCAAACCAAGCTCCTCAAGAAAATTCCTCATCCATAACAACTCCTTGCCAGCCTCAACAGCTGCTATATACTCTGCCTCAGTAGTGGACAAAGCAACACACTTCTGCAATCTTGATTGCCATGAAACTGCAGCTCCAGCAAATGTCATCAAGTATCCCGAGGTAGACTTTGCAGTATCAACATCTCCAGACATATCTGCATCTGTGTACCCATCTAACATAGGTTGTCCAATACCAAAACATAAACAAACTCTGGAGGTACCTCTAAGATATCTGAGAATNACTTACTCAATGACTTCTTCAAGCTGGAAATCTTCTTGGTGTCCTGTCCAACAATCAACATATCATCTACATATAAAAGGAGAATAAGAAAGTCACCTTCGGGGTAATTCTTCACAAACACACAATGATCAGCATGTGTTTTATGGAAGCCATGATCAATCATAAAGGACTCAAACTTCTTATACCACTGCCGAGGTGCTTGCTTCAAACCATACAAACTTTTCTTCAAACGGAAAACTAAGTTCTCTTTTCCCTTAACTTGAAAGCCCTCAGGTTGTTCCATGTAGATTTCCTTATCGAGGTCACCATGAAGAAATGTTGTCTTCACATCAAGTTGCTCAATCTCCAAATCCATGCTCGCAGCTAAGCCAAGTATAACTCGAATAGAGGTCATCTTCACAACTGGAGAAAATATCTCATCAAAATCTATGCCCTTCTTTTGACTGAAACCCTTCACAACCAATCTTGCCTTGTACCTTGGTTGTGAGCTACTCTCATCATACTTCAGTCTGTATACCCACTTGTTCTTGAGTGCTCTCTGGCCTTTAGGCAACTCTACAAGCTCATATGTGTGGTTCTCATGCAAGGACGTCATCTCATCTTGCATGGCATCGTACCACTTCTCGCGGTGCACATGTGACATAGCCTCATCATATGTCTCTGGCTCTCCTCCATCCGTGACTAGCACAAAATCATCCTCCGAAAGTCTTGTGGAAGGTTTTCTGACTCTGGTGGATCTTCTCAACTGAGGTGGTAGTGACTCTGAATGTGGTTGTGACTCTGGAATATCATCACCACCATCATCATGATTATCATCATCATGATGGTCATCTGCAGGAGACTCAACTGTATGATCATGCATATCTCCCCCATGATCTTGAGGGACTACAACAGGAGGAAGAGGTAGAACTGGATCAACTGTGATGCATGGAGAAGGATTTGCCTGCTTCTTCTCACAATCTTCAATAGTCTGATCTTCAAAGAAAACCACATCTCTGCTTCTGATCACTTTCCTATCACGTGGATCCCATAGTCTATAGCCAAACTCATCCTCTGAATACCCCAAAAATATGCACTCTTTGGTCTTCTTATCAAGCTTGGATCTCTCATCTCTGGGAATATGAACAAATGCTCTGCAGCCAAAGACTCTCAAATGCTTATAGGAGACATCTTTCCCTGACCAAACTCTCTGAGGAACATCACCTTCAAGAGGAACTGAAGGGGAAAGGTTAATCAGGTACACGGCAGTGAACACTGCCTCCGCCCAAAAAGACTTTGGCAGCTTAGCATGAGATAGCATACACCTGATTCTCTCTTCAATTGTTCTATTCATTCTTTCTGCAACTCCATTAAGCTGAGGTGTCTTTGGAACTGTCTTCTCAAGCTTGATGCCATGACTTTTGCAATAATTCTCAAATGGACCCCTGTACTCGCCACCATTGTCTGATCTGACACACTTGAGCTTTCTGCCACTTTCTCTTTCAACTCTGGCATGAAACTACTTAAAAGCTTCAAGTACCTGGTCTTTATTTTTCAAAACAAAAGCCCACACTTTTCTAGAAAAATCATCAATAAAAGTCACAAAATATTGTGCACCACGGTGTGATCTAGCATCCATAGAGCAAACATCAGTATGAACAAGATCTAAAGCATGCTTTCTTCTATGTGGGGGACGAGTATGAAATGCAACTCTGTGTTGTTTTCCAGCTAAACAATCAACACAAGAGTTTAAAGGCATACTTGAAATGTCGGGGAGATAATCTTTCCTGGAAAGGATCTGCATGCCCTTTTGACTCATGTGGCCAAGCCTCTTATGCCACAAATCACCGGAGGCATCATCTGCTACATTGGCATCTCCGCTACATACTCTGGCCTGCATAACATAAAGTGAATTCTGCTTCCTACCTCGAGCCATAATCAAACTGCCCCTGGAGAGTTTCCATCTTCCATCACAAAATTTGTTGGCATAACCTTCATCATCAAGCAAACCAGCTGAAATCAAACTCAATCTGATATCTGGGACGTGCCTCACATCCCTGAGCACCAACCTGCAACCAGTGGAAGTCTCTAAACAAACATCACCCATGCCGATGATCTTAGACGAACCATCATTTCCCATCCTCACATGGCCAAAATCACCACTAGTATAGGATGAGAAGTACTCCCTGTGTGAAGTAATATGATAAGATGCACCAGAATCAATCACCCATGTGCAGTCATCACAGGCTACATTTAATAGTCCGTGATCACCGATAACAAACAAATCATCATCACTAGATGCCAAGGCTGTAGTGTTCTTCTCTTCTGGCTTCTGCTCGGAATTCTCATTTTTATCTTTTCTCTCCCTGGACATGTCCCTCTTCTTCTTTCTGCAGAATCTCTCAATGTGACCCGGCTTCTGACAATAATGGCAAATGAAATCTCTTTTTCTAGATTTTGATCTCCCCCTGGACTTGTCTCTATGGTGAGGATTTCTGCTCTTGCTTCTCCCCCTGCTAGATTCTGGAATCACATTTGCTTCGGCTTGGCTAGGGTAACCTGATTCTTTCCTCCTAGCCTCTTCATTCAAAAGACTAGCCTTGACCATCTCCATAGTCATCTTGCCATCCGGAGCAGAGTTGCTAAGTGAAACCACCAATGTATCCCAACTGTCGG